GGGGGGGGGGGGGGCGGCGGCCTTGCTCCTCGCGGGACCGGGGGCGCGGAGGCCGCAGCCTCAGGGGGCGAACACGGAGACAGGCAGCACAGAAACGGGTTAGTGCGTGGGGGAAGAGGAAGGAAAAATAGACAGGCGCAGCACATCCCAAAAAACTGTTTTTATACATCCCAAAAAGCTGCTTTTCCACAGAAAAAAAGGACATGGCGAGCAGGGCCTCAGTCAATTCCTTACTCACCACAGGGTAAAAGTAACAAAGGCAACAAAATAAAATACAAGGAAACTTTATTTTTTTCAGTTTTACCAAGGTTTTGCTCTGTTTTTTTGATTTTTTTTTGTTTGTTTTTGTCTTCGAGCTGTTTTATTAGTGGACAAGTCCGGTCAGTTTTTATTTTTTTTTTTTTTTTTTTTGTATTAAAAAGGATCTTGATGGAGGTAGCTTTGTCTCTGTCCTGGCTTTTTGCTTCTTGGTCTCAACTTGCACACTCGTCTCAGTCTCTGTTTTTTTGATTTTTTTTTGTTTGTTTTTGTCTTCGAGCTGTTTTATTAGTGGACAAGTCCGGTCAGTTTTTATTTCTTTTTTTTTTTTTTTTATCTCTCAGATTGAAGATGTTTCTCTTTTAACAGTTAAAGTTGCTACCTCTATCCCATACTATTGCAGAGTAAATGAGCTCTCTTAAGTGCATGTTTCAAAAAAAAAAAAAAAAAAGGACAAAAAAAAAAAAATAATAAAACAAACCCAAAAAAAAAAAACAAACCAGAAACTGAAATTCCAGGCGGAGGCAGCGAGCAATGCGGCCAGGTTCTCCGTGTAACAGACGTGGCGCTGCGGCCTCCAGTCACTATGTACAGAGTCCATCATACATCCCCCTCTCTCCTGAGCACGCTCCTCGCCCCCACGGGCTGCCTGCCGGGGGAAGGAGTCCCTTCTCCTCCCAGGGAGCAGCGCAGCAGCAGCTTCTCCATGGAGGGGAAACAGCACCCGGTCAGGAATGTCAGGCAGAGGGGTAAGAGTGGGGAAGGGGTTGGGGTGGGATGGGGTTGAGGTGGGGGGAAAGGAGTGGGGGGTCACTTCAGCAAGAGGGGGGAAGGGGTTGGGGGGGGATGGGGTTGAGGTGGGGGGAAAGGAGTGGGGGGTCACTTCAGCTTGGCCGAAAGGTCAACAGCACCGGGGCAGGGGCTCACTGCTGCTGGGCCACCTGTGGGGGTGAGAAAAGATAAAGCTGAGACTCGACGGGGTGGTCTATGGTCCCCCCAAGGTAGCCCCAGAGAGGGTACGTACTTGTTGGGGAGGTGGGGGCGGAGGGGGCTCGCTGCTGCGGTTGGCCAACCGGCTGAGGATGTTGCGCTCGGACATCTGGAGGCGGACGGCCACGGGTGGGATGCGGGCAATGGTGGCGGGCAGACGGGTCACGTCCGCCTTCATGTCGCTCAGGAGCTCCTCCAGCTGCTTCAGGACTGGAAGAGAAAGGGACGCCTGTTCAGAGGGGGGGAAGAGGGAACAGGCTACAGGGAAAACCTCTCTCTGGCGAACACCTATCCCTGGTGAACACAGAATCACAGAATCTTCTAGGTTGGAAGGGACCTTAAAGATCATCTTGTCCAACCGTCAACCTAACTGACAAAAATAGACACCCACACAACAAACAAGGAGCATCATCACTAAACCATACCTCCCAGCACTACATCAACCCATCTTTTGAACACCTCCAGGGATGGTGCCTCAACCACCTCCCTGGGCAGCCCATTCCAATGCCTGATAACCCTTTCAGGGAAAAAATTTTTCCTAATATCCAGCCTGAACCTCCCCTGGCGCAACTTGAGGCCATTTCCTCTTGTCCTGTCACCTGTGACTTGAGAGAAGAGACCGACCCCCACCTCTCTACACCCTCCTTTCAGGTAGTTGTAGAGAGCAATAAGGTCTCCCCTCAGCCTCCTCTTCTCCAGGCTGAATAACCCCAGCTCCCTCAGCCTCTTCTCATAAGACTTATTCTCCAGACCCCTCGCCATCTTTGTCGCCCTTCTCTGGACCCGCTCCAGCACCTCTATGTCTTTTTTATGGTAGGGGGCCCAAAACTGGACACAGTACTCAAGGTGAGGCCTCACCAGTGCCGAGTACAGGGGGACGATCACCTCTCGGGCCCTACTCGCCACACTGTTCCTGATACAGGCCAGGAACACCTATCCCTGGTGAACACCCATCCCCTCCCCTTGTTCAGCACCTTTGTGCAGCACAGCGTTGGCGGGCTTGTTCCCGGCCATAGACTCCTTGGAGAGGTGCTGGTGACTCTCAGCCAGGCATTCCACCTCTGCGAAACGCGTGTTCAGAGCCATAGATGGATGAGATGGGTCTTCTGACATGTTCAGATAGGCAGCTCGCCGCAGCTGCTCCTCGATCACCAGCGCTTGCTCCAGGAGCTGCAAGGAGGAGCAGTAGTGAGAAGAAGCCTTCTAGCAGTTGCCCAAAGCGCAGCCTGTTTGCACCCCAAGTCTTTCCCCATCCACTTCTCCACTATGTCACGAGGTGAGACTATTCAGCTGAACCTCACCTCCATCAGCTCCTGTTTATATTGAGTAAAAGCCCAAAGAGCCCAGAACAATTAAGGGCTCCATTAAGCTAGGCCAGGTACACAAGAAAACCAGGCTACACCTAGTTTAACAGAAGACTACCATAAATCCTCTAGACTTCTCATTCCTCCTCAGACTCTTTTTAAAGACCAAGATTGTTTGCTGGTTTACCCTTTCTTTACGAAGCAAAGGGGATGGAGCTTTCTCTTTGAACCCAAGTGAGAAGTATCCTCATGCTACTTACAGGAAGAGTCTAAGAAACCACTGAACATGTCAGGGACATTCAGAGGAATCAGTTTGAATCCTGTTAGTGCAGAACTGATCAGGCAGATGACACTGAATTAATGTTTTGCTCCAAGACCGAGAACTACATGGCCTTTATTTGGGTTGGTCTTAAACTACTCCCAGACCTAAGCTATGGTCACTCCCAATTAGGTTGAGGCAGAGACTGAAGGCAACCCCTTCCACCAGTCCATACAGTGTTTCCAAGTTCTGCTTAGGCAGATGGTGTGGGTTGCAGCACATCAAGCAGAAGCTGTGATGGAACCATCCACTTGAACCTTAAGCCTCCTGTGTACCAGTTGTTCAGTAAACATTTGGAGAGGGAGCACTGAACTAAGCTCCCCAGTACCATTTCTAGAGTAAAGGGAGATCCTATCGTGGAACTACTGCATCATCCTGAGAGATATTGTTAATTCCCCCACACCCCCTAAAATGAAAGGCACTGCAGAAGCCTTCATTTTCTTAGCAGAAACTCAGAACAGCAAGCTTTTGTCCTTAGAGGTCCAGCTGGCCTCTAAGAAAGGTACTCATCACACTGGAGAGAAATCCTTACCTTAAATCTCCTTGCCAAGAACTTATTCTTTATTTCCAGGAAGTTACCCCTGTTCATCTCACCCTTGAAGGGTTCATTGAGGATGGCGTAACGCGGATCATTCTGAATATCCTGCCAACGGGCATAGCCATGACTGAGATGGGATGAGCTCAGGCAAACAAAGGCAGAGAGAACAAGGGAACACACAGCTCAGGCAGATACTGTTCTCAAGAGGGGGTGGGGAAAGGGGGTGCAGAGAGGGAAGGAACCGGAGCCAAGGAAAAGGAATGAGAACTATGTCCTGCTAAGTCTTAACTATGCTGGCAGGAAACGCCTCCTCCCACCATCACTTTCACTCTTGTGAAAGAAGATAAAGCACTCTCTCCCCTCAGTGTACTCCAGACCGACCGAGGACGGTCACCTTCACTGTGACAGTTTATGTATAAGGGAAGAGAACTGGTCCATCCGGGTAAGGATACTTGATAATCCCAGCAAGGAGCCAGTAGTCATGGCGCCGATGCCAGATCTCATAGGTCTTCTTTGTGACAGTAGCAGCCCGCTCCTCATTCTGCCACAGGGAGTGTAGTTCTGGGAAGGCAAGAGACAACCAGAGCAGTTGAAAGTTATTTCACTCACACAAGCAGGGGCATACAAACAAGTTCAAGCATATAAAGATCTCTCATACCTGTGAAGCCACCATCTGCTATGTTGAACATGAAGCGCTGCTTTACTGCCTTCTTGTGCCTTTCATCTACTGACTCCTTCAGCATCTCTCCATTCTGCAGCATCACCACATCTCTCTTATCATCCTCCTTTTTCTCATCTGAACACACAGGAAATAAGAACACAGCAGATACCACAGCAAGTTGGACCCATGAGGACTCCTTGCAGGAGAGGGGTTGAGAATGGAATGATCATGACTCACCTTTCTCATCCAGAGTGATTATAGGAGGTTCAGGGGGATTCTCAACAGGAGCTCTGTCCTCCACTTTCTCCACATCAGCTGCAGGAGAGAATGAACATGAGATGTAGGGCAACACAGCAAGTCCAAGGTTTTGTTCCTTAGCCTGTGAAACCTAATACTGTTCCCTAACTCCCAGTTTGAAGTCCTGGAATAGCTCCACTGTCTATATTTATGACTGCTTCCTTAGGACAAAGTGCTGAAGCAAAGTAGATTTTTAGGAAAATATTATTTGAAGGGGAGGGGGGTTTACCGCTGTTCAAGGTATTAAACAGCCTCCCTAGAGATACCTTTGCTTTCTACTTCCATTGGCTCATCTGGTCTTTCCTTCACCTCCG